GTGGCTCGTGGGCTCTAGAGCACAGGCTCAGTAGTTGTGGTGCATGGGCTTAGTTGCTCCACGGCATGTGGGTTCTTCCCAGACCAGGGCTCAAACCCGTGTCCCTTGCACTGGTGGCGGATTCTTAACCGCTGCGCCACCAGGGAAGTCCTGATAGTATCGGCTTTTAAGAAAATGCTGCATTAAAAAAAAAAAAGAAAAAAGAATTTATTTATTTTATTATTTATTTTGGCTGTGCCAGGTCTTAGTTCCAGCAGGCAGGATCTTCATTGCAAGCATGTGGGATCTTTAGTTGTGACATGCAGGTTCTTTAGTTTCGGCATGTGGACTTTTTAGTTGTGGCATGCGGGCTTCTTAGTTGGGGCATGGGGACTCTTAGTTGCGGCATGCATGTGGGATCTAGTTCCCCGACCAGGGATTGAACCCAGGCCCCCTGCATTGGGAGCTCGGGGTCCTACCCAGTGGACCACCAGGGAAGTCCCAAGAAAATGCTGTGTGTATTCCTTATTATTTTATTGACATGCGCCTTTAATTTTAATTAAAATAACAGGAAGGAAGTATCTGAGGCTTTTCCTGGGGGCTCTAAGCCCTGCATTTAGCCTTGTGAATAGGGCTGTGTACACTTTCTTCCCCTGGGTCTTGCTCAACTGATGATCTTTGTTTAAAAATGCTTCTCGCTCTGGCAGGACTTGCTATTTCAACTGAACTCAAGAAGTATTTCTCGAGCACACACTATATCAGAAGGGCTACAGAGGTAAATGAGACAGTCCTGGCTCGGGGGACCACACCGTAGGGAAGAGGTATGTAATCACCAGAACTATGGTGCAGGGAGGAACTGTGTGCTCTAATGGGTTTAAGTAACATGCTTAGAGGAGTGGGGGACCTGGGGGCAGGGAAGGTTTTGCTGAGGGGTGACTCTTGTACTGATGCTTGGAGGAGGGATAGGCAGTTGAAGCGGAGGGAACAGCATAAGTGAAGGACCAGAGGAGTAAACACACCCCAGTGTCAGAAGCATAGAATGTGTGCAGGGACACAGCATGAGATGTGGCAGTGACCCCCTTGTGATAGCTTTGCACTCTGTGTTCAGGAGTTAAAATTGCCTCTCGAGACAGTGGGGAGGCATTGAAGGAGGGTAGAGACACAGTCTGACGTGTGCTATATAATGATCACCTTTCTCATCAGAGGGAGGATTGGAGAGGCAAGAAGTTGGAGATACGATGGGGCAGGGGACGGATGAAAATTTTAGTATATGGCTAAGCAATTGGAAAGGACCAGTGGGTCTGGAAAGGAAAGATTAAATACTAGCTCTACAAGAGAGAGGTTGAAAATTTTAGCATATGGCTAAGCAATTGGAAAGGACCAGTGGGTCTGGAAAGGAAAGATTAAATACTAGCTCTACAAGAGAGAGGTGTTTACCAACCTCACCTGAAATGAAGCTCACAAATAATCTAACCAGCCTACTCTCGTAATTTCAGAAATTGTAATACACTAAGTGTAGTGTAAAGGAGAAACACCAAGAAAGTCATTTATAATCAAATAACATGCATTTCAGTATGAAGTAGTCAGATATTCTCACCCACACTAAAATCACTGTGGAGGTGACAGTCACAAATACAACGTGATGTGAAGTGGAGCTCTTTACATGCGATTTGAATACCTTGAGGGGTTTTCTGAAGTGCAGGACAGTTCTTGGAGAGCCACTGATGTAGGGGAAGAATCAGTGGATACCAAGGTGGACTGGAAAAGCCAGGGGAGGATAAGGGAAGGTGTTAAGATGCCTCTGGCTTTCTAGTCTAGGTGACCGGGAGGAGAGCGCTGCCTCGCCAGAGGCTGGGAACTCAAGAATGGAAGGTTTGGCGGGGTGGCTCCCGTGCAAGTAGAGGAAGCAGGTCAGCATTGACTTTGGGAAAAAGCTGGGTGTGAGATGCGCAGTGGACCTCTCTGGGTAGGGCTCAGGAATTTCCCGGAAATCCATGAGCACTCCTTCTGAAACAAGAGGTCGCTGAATTTGGCAATAAAGCAGTAGCTTGTGATGTGAGAGAGCCGAGGTAGTTACAGTAGTGAGGGATGAAGCTAGAACACAGATAAAGGATGACATTAGCGGTTAAGGAAGTAAAGCAGCAGGTTTTTTTTGTTGTTTTTTTTTTTGCGGTACGCGGGCCTCTCACTGCTGTGGCCTCTCCCGTTGCGGAGCACAGGCTCCGGATGCGCAGGCTCAGCGGCCACGGCTCACGGGCCCAGCCGCTCCACGGCATGTGGGATCTTCCCGGACCGGGGCACGAACCCGTGTCCCCTGCCTCGGCAGGCAGACTCTCAACCACTGCGCCACCAGGGAAGCCCAAGCAGCAGGTTTTAAGAATTGTTGCAAGGAGTGGTGAGTGGGAAACTAGTTTGGATACAGAGTGTGTGTGTGTGTGTGTGTGTGTGTGTGTGTGTGCGCGTGTCTAGCGTTAGGGGTGGGTGGCGTAGAGAAGGGGACTTACTATTCATTTGGCATGTGTTCTGTTTAGCATTTGGAGAATTATACCCTAGCCAGCATTTTATAAAATTTGTTGAATTAATAAAAAACAATATCAAGCCTTTTTTTTTTTTTTCCTTAAAAAAATTTCAAAGGCATCTGGCCCCGTGTTCCTGGTACACATCATTACCACTTGATCATTGTCAGTTGAATCTAGGCGTTGACTGGGCTTCCAGTGAAACGGAGGTAACGACGTAGTTAAAGGATGTGTTGGCAGTTTAATTATTGTTTTCTAATGACCAAGCCAAAGGATCTCCTGGGATCGGTAGGAGATTCTGTTGGACTAAGGCTCCTTGAAGAGACAGTGGGCAGATCACAAGTATTTTTCCATTTGGACATGGACAAAGAAAAATGTGATTTTTTTTTTTGTTGTTGTTAAAGGTCACCTGCCTGGTACCAGGACAGAAACTCACGTAGGTTTTAGTCCTGAGATGAGTAGAATACGTAGAGGCTGACCTTTGAGCTCATTCAAAGGCAACACAGCCCCCTAGCCCCTCCCTCTGAGCCCTCGGTAGAAAAATTCTTCTAATCCCATGTTACAGCTCTGACCCGCTGGGCTTATTACCTTGGTCTTCTCCTATTCACCCAGTTGTTTACTACAACTGAATCAAGCCGGTGTTTCGATAATAAACTCCAGGACAGGGAGAGTTTTCAAATTTGGTGTCTTTTTCCCTAACGTGGTTTTCGTTGATTCCGCGAGTTGTTGGAGCGGCAGTGGCTGGTTTGCGATTCCCAGGCAGGGACTGAGGCGGTCTTGTGGGCTGGCGTGCGAGAACACTGTCTCCCTTTGTACAAAGATGGCTTAGGTTTCTTCACAGCTTCCTCTCCTGCAACAGCTCAGGAAGCGTAAATGGATTGGGGGATGGGGCATGTGTCGAATGGAAAGGTTTTGTAATTTCAAGGCAACCAAACAAAATAGATCCTGCAGAAAGGTTTTACCTCGTCACTAGCAGACAATAGGATTTCTCACCTACAGATGGTGAAGAGAGAAGAGCCTTAGCCAGAACATTACGTAGAAATTACTTGTCAAGTTTGATCAATTCAGAGAAAATCCAAACCCCCTTTGAAAAGGCACAGTTGATATTCGAAGATTAGTGGGGGATGTCCTTATAGGTCCATTGTTTGGCTAAACTGTCTGCATATGCAGCATGTTTGCTAAATGAATGATACATTTGCATCTAAATGGTCCATAAATAATTTGATTCTGCTCTAGACAGGGTAATAAACAAGCCCCCTCCCCACTGTTGCACTTGTGAGCGGGCTGGGAGTGTGGACTCCTCTCTTATTGCTTGGACTGTGCTATTATTTGACAAGGCACTGGGGAAGGAGTACATGAATCTATTAAGGAGAACCAATCTCCATTATGCGCTGGGATTTGAGGGAACTGGCAGAGGAAGCTTTCATAATGTACAGCTTTTGGTCTCCGGCTGTCTGGGCAAAAATTAAAAAAAAAAAGAAAAATCAGAAATCAGAGTTGCTGCCACTGTAGCAAATCTGCCTTGTGCGTTGGGGACAGTGTGAGGCGTTAATTACCATCTGTGTGCTGCTTTTTATGAGAGCGTTAAGTACCTGTGCCTCCCATCCAGCACCTGAGTGAGTATTTAGAGCACACATGTGAACGTGGGACCCAGGATCTGCGTTCGAGTTGATACTCTGAGGACTTTAGCTACTAAGTGGACACAGCCAGGTATTAGGATCACACAGATCGTTCCCTCCGTGTCCAAGCTGATGAGTTCCAGCTCTTAATTTGGAAGGCAGGGAGCTTAACGGCGGCACTGCCAACTGCTAGTTTCCATTTTGCAGTTATGTCATGCCTGTTATGTCAAAACTGTGACTCTTTATGGCAGCCTTTCGTGAGATTTGTGACGGTCCGTTCTTTTAAAGGCTCCAGGGGGATAGTATACCTTGATTTAAGAAAGCTCAATCTATTAAATCCAGCTTCGCGTGAGAGAAATATAGAAGTACAGTTACTCACTTCGCAGAGGACGCACAATGGGGTTCTTTAAGTAGTAAATATTACGTGTGGCACTTAGTATGTGATTTAGTTCATTGTTTCAGGAATAGGTCTATTGGCAAAATGCAGTCTACTTCAAGGATTTTGGTGCTTCTTACTTCGGGTTATTCACCCCTTGTTTCCCAGCCCACACCGGCACTGGGACAAGCCAGAACTCAGGCGATCAGTCCAGTGGTAGCTGCTTTGAATCCCCAGTTGTGTTCCTGGAACTCTAAGCCTCTCATTCTTTACTGTGACAGGTAGTGTAAGTTGACTTGTGTAGTACAGATTCCAGTCCCTTTCAGTTTGATTTCTGGAGCTTAGAGAGCCTGAAAGCTAAGACCAATTCTGCCTAGTTTCCCTGGCATTTAGAACTCCTCATATGATTTAGGGATTTGATCTCCCGGCAAGCACAGTGGCAGGGATAGCTGGCCTTTGTAGGCGAGGAAAACTACTTTCCCTCTACCCTTCTGAGTTCTTAGCTGAGATCCCTGTAATAAAACACAGATGGACAAGAGAAAAACAAACAGCAGTTTATTAACATGTACACCTCATGTATACATGGGAGACACCCAGGAAAAATGAGTAACTCAAAGAGGTGGCTTAGAATTCAGGCTTAAAAACCATCTTAATAGGGACAGGGAGAGGCGGGTATAGGCCTTTGCGGTGGGAGGGAGAGAAATTGACTTTTAGGAACGATGAATGGACCCTTAGAAGCACAGATGGGAGGTGTGGTAGTTTGTGATGAAGTTTGTCTGAGTGTGGTGTCGACTTCTAGTTCTCTCTCCTGTGATGAGTCCATCTTCCCTGGTTGATGAAACTCCTGGGGAGGGGATTTATGACAGTTGAGTTCCTTCTGAAGGATCTTCTTTAGGCAGATAAGGGGAGTTCAGAGAAAGCCTTTCCTTGTACAATGTTTGAGATTTTCCAAGTGCCTAGGGCTCAAAATAATCAATATACCAAAGTGGCATATTTTGGGGTGGCATGTCCTGAACTCCTATAGTCACATTTCGGGGTGCTGTATTCTGCTTTGGGGTGCCTTCACTCTTCTGAAGCAGCTGTGGCAGAGTTCCTGACCCTAGCATCCGGCCTCCTAGCATCAAGGTATCGAGAAGAAGTCAACACAGTGGTGTTTCTGCTGGAAGAATTATGTGCAGTGGCTGGGTGTTTTCTCTGGCTGCTCTGTCCCTGACTTTGTGACTCTCTGGCCTGCCCGTGAACCACCTCATGTATTTTCTGCTTAAACTAGCTGCAGTAGATTTTATTGTCCACAACTAAAAATCTTGACTGATATACTCCCCCATCCCTGTGTGTCCTGGGTGGTTCACACTCAGGCCTCTGGTGTACAGCTGTGCAGGTGGTGCACTGCACAACTCCAGAGGGCAGCATTCACCTAGGCTGAACACCTTTTCCTTATGAACTGTTCTCCTGCAAGGCTGTTGTCGGTCTCTAAGCTCTGCTGCTCCCACTGCCTTAGTTTGGGCCTCACTCCACAGCGGGCACTGTAGCCACCCAAGTGTGAAGGGAGAATTTTCTACAAAGATGACAATTCTTTCAGCCCACATGACCTTCTCCAAGGAATTAAAACTCTTTTAGTCTACAATTTCTTCTGTCCAGACATTTAGAACAAAATTTTCCTGGGCCTGGAGAATTGTATTAATCATGTGTTTTATTTTTTATGATGTTTTGACATCTTGGTGCCTTGAGGACCTAGAAGAGGGACAGCCCCTCCTAAGGTTAGATAGGTAATTCCTAGAGAGAGCAAACAACTTGCCTGAGAGCAGGCCCTTGATACGCAAACCAACCAGTCCTGAATCCACACCCCTACCCTCCTCCTTTTGTCAGGCCCCTGCCCTAAATCACCCCAGGGGCCAAGTGTCCAGCAAATAAGAGACAATCCTTGTAGCCCAGAGGCCACTGAGATTCAAATACCTAATTCTAAACCTGCTCAGTGTTTCCTCTGCCTCACCCATTCCTTCTCAAAAAATGTACCAATAATGGCTTTTGCCCATGACGCTTTCCCCTCACTCCTGCCTCCTGATCAGCCCTGGTGCTTCCTTGTGTGGCTCTGTGTGGCATGGTGGGTCCCCCCTCCTCTTGGGAATTATAAATAATAAGCTTTTCTTTCAAAGGTAGTTGTCTCTGTGTCTACCATCTTATCATATCTGATTAAAACAAATCCTGGGCATCTTAAAACACTGGGGAGGAAAATATTTGAGTGGCACTAGATAGTATTGTATTCCAAAGTCTTTATGTCTTATGACAACCTGGATTTCCCAAGACAGCACCCTTGTATTTTGATTGTCCTCTGCTTCCGGGAAGTTATTTAAAGAATTCCCCATCAATGCATTCCCCCTCATTGTTATAATGAAGCAGTAATCCTGGTGTTTTGGACAGGTCACTGACCATCAGACTCAAAGTCCCCTTTATCATTTACTTCAGAGAACCTAGGAGCTATCATGAGTAAGGCTCTCTGTGGCCTTCTAGAATCTCTAGCTCTTCTAGAATTTTGGAGGTGAATATATAGATTAAGATTCCAATAGGACTCTAACTTCATTCTTATATCTGGAAGAAAACGCAAAATGCCTTTAGAGTTTATAGTTACTCTACCAAGACCCTAAACAATTATGGAATCTCAGAGTGATAAAGGATCCTACAAATTACCTAATCTAGATATTTCCTCTATTACTCTCTTCATTATTCAGTGCCACTTCATCCAACTCTCTTCCCATTGCATGAATCCTTTCTGTCATTTCCAACATTTGATCATCCCCTTGAATCTGTATTAAAGTTCATTGCTGTGTATTCCAGTGCAGGAGTTGACAAACTGTAGCCCATTGGACAGATCCAGTCTGCTCTTTGCTTTTGTAAATAATGTTTTATTGGAGCACAGCACACTCATTCATTCATGTATTGTCTGAGGCTGCTTCCACACCACAATGGCAGAATTAAATAGTTGCCACAGAGGGCATATAGTCTGCAAAACCTAAAATATTTATTATCTGGCCAGCCCCTGTCCTAGCAGATAGAATGGGCTGGAGTCCTGGACATTATTTACAAGTTCTTCAGGGACAATGTCAAGTTCATCTTCCTCCATGAAGCATTTTTTAAAATCATATAAGCTTCCATCAAGCTCCTCCTCAAACCATGCCAGTTAAAGTCTTTTTTTTTTTTAAGTTTATCTATTTATTATTTTATTTTAGTTTTGGCTGCATCGAGTCTTCGTTGCTGCACGCGGACTTTCTCTAGTTGCGGCGAGCGTGGGCTACTCTTTGTTGTGGTGCGTGGGCTTCTCACTGCGGTGGCTTCTCTTGTTGCAGAGCACGGGCTCTAGGCGCGCGGGCTCAGTAGTTGTGGCTCACAGGCTCTGGAGCGCAGGCTCAGTAGTTGTGGCGCACGGGCTTAGTTGCTCCGCGGCATGTGGGATCTTCCCGGACCAGGGCTCGAACCCGTGTCCCCTGCATTGGCAGGCAGATTCTCAACCACTGCGCCACCAGGGAAGCCCCAGTTAAAGTCTTAATCATTTCACTAGCTCCTTATTATCTAAGGCTGTGTGTTTCTACTCGTCTAGGCGTGAAGAGCCTGTTTGCTCTACAAGTATCTTTTTAGGAATATCAGTGTAAGCATGGAGACAGTGGCTCCTTCTAGAACAAATTTATTTACATTCCTGGGTAGTAAAAAATAGAGGTATTCCCTCCTCAGAGAGATTTGCTTATATTCCAGAGTAATAAAAATAATCTCTCTCTCCAGAAAGGAGGAGGGGCAGGTTTGCTAGCAACCCCGTATAAGATCAGAGTCTCCTGATCTCAGGGTTCCTCTCCCTAATTTATCCCCACTCTGTGCACAGTCAACACCTGTTCATTGTTCTTTCGGAATTGGGGCTCAGGGAACCTGGACTAAAATGTTCTTCTCACTGTAAACTGTAAATCGTCTAAATCCATTTGGGCTCTTTGTCTCCTTCTGGCCAGATCTATGGATGCATGTAATCCAACCCAACCACTGCTACTGGGCTGCTGCTTAGCAACTGCTGGACCATTTGAGAGTTGCTTTATGCACATTTAAATGCATTTATTTTGGCTCCTTGAGTCCACTAAGACGTTCCTGAGGGCAGGGACCAGACCCTCTTTTCCCTTTGCATCCTCCAGCAAACCCAACGTACATAGGCATTCAGTAATATTTTTTTGCTTAGGCAGAAGGCGCTCCTACATCCTGTCCTGAAGCATTCTTCTTAATGGCACATGAAGACTTGCGACTATTTCTAAATGGCCATGGCTTCCCTGTGCCCAGGTGCCCCTGAGACTCTGGGATCTCAAGCCGTCCTGGGCTTGTTAAGAAGCAGAGGCGAGTTCCAGCCCGCCAGAGCCCACCCAGAGAACAGCCCACCATGGATGCGGCAGCGAGGCCTAGGGAATACCGCTCCACCAGCCCTGTGGCCGGAGAGAATTGGCCATACACTCGGCTCCCCAGATTATAGGCAGAATTAGCAAGATGGGGACACTCCCCCTGAGGGCCTACTGTGGCTAGTAACCTGCACCCACAATAAAACAAATGCACTTTATGGACTCTTTCCTCCTAGGTGTGCCAGATTTAGCAAATAAAAATACTTTTTACTTTATTTACTAAGCAGGCTTATTCTCTGCCCTCTCCCCTCTAGAGCCCATTCCCCAACTGAGCCTCACCCTCAGGATGTGGCCACATCACTAAACCAGACCCAGTGACAGTGGTTTTCCTGATTCTCTTTTTTTTACAGAGCACCTTTCCCGGGTTGGTGAAGATGCAGATCTGAATGTTTAGGGGATGGACCCAGAGTCTCAGGAGACCTTCCTTGCGTTTTGCTGACTGACCTCGACCTCCTGTCATTGTTCGCAGGAAGCAGGACCACAGGGTAGGTGGTGGGCTCACCTTCTGAATGATCTGGAAGCTTTTCTGTTGCAGGAAGGGCGACCCCTTCCCGGGCCTGAGAGTGGGCTCCTGTCAAACACTTGGAAATGGATTGTCCGAGGAGACACACGTACTGATAAAGCAAATGATTTTATTGGGAAGGGGCACCCGGGTGGAGAGCGGCAGGGTAAGGCAGCCCAGGAGAACTGCTCTCCACGCAGCTTGCAGTCTCAGGTTTTATGGTAATGGCGTTAGTTTCCGGGTTGTCTCTGGCCAATCATCTTGCTTGGCCCGTAGCTGGCCTGACTCAGGGTCCTTCCCTGTGGCGCGTGCATCTCTCAGCCAAGATGGATCCAGCGTGACGGTTTCTGGGAGGTTGGCAGGGCATGTTGTCTCCTCCCTCCTCCTTTCGGCCCCTCCCGAATTCTCCTGGTTAGCTTTCCTCGGCAGCGCTGCATTCTTCATCGCGACCTTCTGATGAGGTCCTTCAAGCGGTTAGCATCATGCCTGGCCAAGGCGGGCGGTTTCCGTCAACGATTCCCTAACATTTCGATGTATTGGGGTGCTTGATTTCCCGTTTGATTGTGTTTTGTTTTTTAACTCTGTAATTGCCAGAATTATGCGTCAAGTCAGATGTAAAAATCAAGAAATGTCTATCTCTGTGTATTAACAAAGTTGATTTGGAACCTAGGAAGAGGCAGAGAGAAGGGAAGATTGAATTACCTCGTGGATGGGTGGTAATCCATGCCCCCAACTTTATCCTTAATAGATGCTTTTCCCAGTGGCCCCCTTACAGAGGGTGTACAGAGTTTATCTTGTCTACCTCTAGGCTAGTAAGAAACTAGTTCAGTGATTTCCTTTTCTCTCGCCCCACAGGCAAGGCTTACATGGGGCTGAGCTCTGAGCGGCGGCTGCCGAAAGTGGCCTGATAATTCGCATTCCCCACAGAGGGCCCTGAAACGGTGACCCCTGTTCAGGCATCCTGGGGAGATTTGCAGGATAAATAAATGCCTCCCTGGGGATTTGCGAGGTATCTCCCTGTCAGGGCTGGGGGCAGAGATTTAAATATGAATTACCATCCCAACCTGGCAGGGATTTACAAGATAAGGCCCTTCTGTGCTCCTGGGGAAGATTTACACAGAAGGCTGCCTGCCCAGCCTTCTCTCACGCCTCTGTACCTACCATCTCTGCCCCCAAATGACAGGAGAATAGAGTTCCCTCTGCCAACTCGGTTTACAGGGAACCCCTACACAATTGCCGTCTGCTCTCCTTTTTGGACTCCATTTAAGTGTTTCCTGCTTCTCCATCTGAAGGTAACTGTGATCGCTTCCCATCACCTCCTTTCCTGCCTTCCTTCCTCCCGCAGAAAGACCGGCTTTCTTCTTCAGGTGGCTTTATCTGCTCCTTTATTATAGTCTCCTGTGGCCCCTGTTAGCATCAGTGTGTTCAGTTCTGGATTTGAGAATCTAATCCTCAGCCACATACCTCCAGCAGAATCCTCTGGGGGAGAATGTTAAATCAGAACCCTGGGTTCCACTCTGGACCTCCTGAAGGAAAATCTCTAGTTTCTAGGGCCCAGAAATCAAGTTCTGTTGATCATTCTTAAGCACACTCAAGTCTGAGAACTAACCTTGCATCCCAGAGTGGGTTCGGGGCTGGGCCTCCCTCCCCGGCTGACTTTCCGATGGGTGAGTCTCCCCCTTCTTTAAGTGGAGTGTCTCTCTGGCACTCAGCAACCTTACTGTGCATCTTTGAGTGTATTTTTAGGGCAAGGGCAAGTGTTTGGGACACCATGGTGTGCAGAACTGTCCCAAGAAAGGCCGTGGCCTGAAAAGTAACCGGGCTCATGAATATTCATGCTGGCCCTGTGGTCAGTTTTGATCACTCAGATCAATTCGAGGCGCTTTCTATAAACCTTTGTGAGAGCTGAAAACAGGTTCTGGGACCAAGAACGTAGGGAAGAAGATAGAGGTTAAGATGACTTGACAGGCAATAGGATTAAAACTTGCTCAATCCTGATCTTGCGAGTAACTAACAGTGGCCTGAAACTAAAGAATTAAACCATGAAGGCTCCCTTGACAACTGATCTGATAGGCCCAGAAGTAAATTTCAGGGACACTGTTGTCAGGCAGAGGCAGGGGAGAGCTGAGATAAGGGGCACTGGGAGGAAGGGGGTGGGCAGTGACGGCCAGCGAGGGAGGCTTTGGTCTCTCTTCTCAGGGTAGCACCAGATGCTGAAATAGTACTGAGGGCAGATTAGCTGCCACAGCATTTATTCACCTTCAGCCGTACTTTCTCCCCTACATCCAATTATGACTTTAAAATGGAGGCAAAAATGAAAAGGGGAGGAAGATAATGAAACATAAGTCAAACGTGGCAGCTGGTGAATTTCTGATAATTGCACTGTCCGGTATCGCGTTTCATTTCTATTCCCTCACGTGGCACAGTAGCCTATGGAGAGAAAAAAAATCCCAACGACGACAAACAACTCCAAAGATTCGAGGAAACAATATCAAATGCAATTTAATGACATTTTTCATGGGAGACAGAGTAGAGAGAAAGTAGAATTCTAAATCTGCTGCTGCTTCTTGTCTTTAACATCATAAGAAAGCCTAGAAAACTATATACACATCAATTCAGATCAAGTAAAGTGATTCTCAATTTCCTTTCTCTGTCTCATCTCAATACCCTAAAAAAAGGTTAAAAAGGGGAGGGGAGTATTTATAGTACAGTACTCAAGGTTAAATATTTTCATACAATATCGGAAAACACAAACCCTAACCCATGTAGGTAACCCATGTGATAATCTGATTTGGGGGAAACAAATCAATGCTTATCTACGACAGATTTCTTGGATCTCTTTTTAGTGAAGTTTTTCTTGGCTGGCCATTGTCCAGGTTAATACACTAGAGAGCTCACCAATCCTTAAAGGAAATCTTCAGAACAAATAACCTGAAGGTCTAACAATCTACTAGGAGACTCTACTCTTGATGCTATTTGTAGCTGAACTTTAATCGAAGCATAATTCTTTGATGTCCAGTCCGCAGTCCCTTCCCCTTCCACCAGAAATTGCATCCAAGTGGAGGCTTCAACAAGCCTCACTTCTTTCACTTACGTTGAAGCCACTGGGTTCAGAGTAACTGATTCACTATTGACCTTGGAGATTCTGCCTGCTACAGGGCACTCACCCTGGAGTTCCTTGTGACTTTTATCCTAGTGGGAACCATGCCCTTAATTTGGAAAGAGTATTGGTCTGGGTAGGCTATGGATTGTGAACAGGCTCCTTGTTGGGTTGCAGTGAAGTAGCCAGATTAGCGCTAGGCTCTGTTCTTCATGTAACATCCCCTGATCTGTTCCCTTCTTTGTCCTTCAGCTTTGAGGATGTGAGGGTCCTATTTCTGTGGTCATACATTTTATGTGATGTTTGCAACTACTGCCCACTGTGTCATTCTCAGATGTTGGATATTTCCAATCTCTAATAGCAAAGTAAAATATTTCTTTAGGTTTTGGTCTATGTACAGAGGTAAGAAAAATGACCTATAAGAACAAGCAATGGGAGATTCTAATTTTGTAGAGTTTGGTCTTACTTTTGGGATTGGGATTGCAATAGGTTGGTTTTGTGGAACCATAATTTTTCCATGAAAGTCATCAGATAGAACTTCCCACACTAACAGCAATAGGGAAGGATCTGGAATAGGGCAGGGAGTGCCCTTGAAGTTGCTTAGAGGCCTCAGACCCCCTTCTCCGGAACAATTTGTGTTTTCCCGAAAATTTGCTATTTGGCTAGCTTGGCTGTTATCTCTGTCCCTGTCAGTGTGGCCACCAGGATCTTGTTTCTCCTTCCAAGGTCCCCTCTCCCCACCCTGCCATGTGCATCAGAACTGTCCAGGCAGTGGTGTGCTGGTAAAGGTTTTCACAGCTAGTTCTCCAAGTGGGAAACACCCTGGCTTATAGCACTGACAATTTCCGTGGGGTAAACACTGCCACCGTGGCCAGTTTCAAGCTGTTACCATGATGTCACCAAACATGGGGTTGGTAGCGCATCATTATATAGTATGTTCACCACACACATATGATCAAGGTAAATAATCTTGAGAGCATAGAAAATAAGAGTAGTGAAATAATTAGGAAGTGATGAGTTTTGAGTATTTATTACCTTCTTTTTAATAGAACTTATTTAATTGTAAATTTATATAATTTAATTTTTAATAGTGGCTGTGCTTAACAGTTTGTAAAATTCCTAAAGAATTTAACAACTGTTACACAAGCCAGCTCTAGCACACCGTTCTGTCTTGGTCTGGGAAAAGAGGGAGAAAGGGAAGAAATGAAAGGGCGCATTTAATACAACTCTACTAAAAGGCCTCTCTATGCCATTCACTATTTATGACCGGTCCTTCTGAGCCTTGGGTCCATGAATTTCTAGAAATGACATAGTTGGTATTGGTCTGAAGCCTGGACTTTGGAGCAAGACATGCTAAATTCCAGACCCAGCTGTACCATTTGCTACTGTGTGACCTTAAAAGTGTCTAATCCCTCTTAGCTTAAGTTTCTTCATGGGTGAAATAATAGTACCTGCTTCATAAGGTTGTCATGGGGATTAAATGAGATAATATACTCAAAGTACTTAGCTCACTAGGTTACATAGTAAACCCTCAATAAGTGGTAGCCATGAGTACTATTATTATTATTAACCTGATCCGTTTCTTAAAGGTCCACGATAGCCACAGGTAGTGATGGGATCTATCGCAGCTGCAGGTACATGGAGAGAAGGATAATTAAAGGCAATCTTCTTTGCCTGGCCTGACTTCCATTCTGCACTGATCATTTGTGTAGGCTCAGCCTCAAGGGCTAGCTTGGCTGTTATCTCTGTCCCTGTCAGTGTGGCCACCAGGATCTTGTTTCTCCTTCCAAAGTCCCCTCTCCCCACCCTGCCGTGTGCATCAGAACTGCTGGAGCTGCGGGTTGGCAGCACAGGTGGCTGCAGGATGACCCAGTTGTTGGGGGGAAGGGTGCTGTGTTTGTGGATCAGTTATTTTTGGCAGAGAAAAGATTGCTGATGGCCATTCAGGGCAAAAGCTGCCCGAAACTAAATCCTCACTGGGAGGCCTGCCAGGACCCAGCCGAGATGGCCAGGGGAGGGAACGGGACCGAGAGCAACGTCTGCTTGGCGAAAGGTCCACTGGTGAGCGTCGTGTGGGGTTTGGGGGCCCCGTGTAGCTGCCGCAACCAGGGATTGGCCGAGGGGAGAACAAAAATGACCAAAAGGAGGGGGAAGAGGGCCTACTGGGAAGGCTTACAGGTATTCAGCTTCCATCAGACGAGACGGAGTCGACTGAACATGCTTACTTTCTTCAAAACACGAGAGACTTCCACAAGAAGAGGTTTGGCAAAGTGTTCTGACAGCCGAGTAAGAGAAGGCCATCTACCTGGAGGCAGTATGGATTTCCGTGGCCTCTTCATTCATACTGCAACGGGGCGCTGGACGCATACTGGCCAGTGATAGCGTGTGTGTGCTGAATGGGGCCCTCGGAGCATTTTAGAAGTAAGGGAAGGAAAGAGGACCCTCTCAGGTGTCTGAGTGATGGGGACAGCCCTTCAGGTCAGAGGACCTGGTCGCACCCTTCAAGTTCCTTGTGTTTGATGCCGAATCGTGGTTCTGCTTATGAACTGTCAAGGGCACAGAGGGCTCTTTGCCTGATACAGACGTGCTCCACCCCAGGGAAAGGATTGGTGGATTTTATAACTTGATAATAAAGCTCTCTCAGGAGAGAACGCCCTCCCAGAGGTGGGAGATTCATTTTATCCTTCGCTTTTTCAGCTGCTTCTCTTCCCCTGCATCTTGCCCATCCTTTTCTATGAATTGCTCAACAGACGGCAAAGAGATTTTGAAGAAAGCACCAAACCCTTGAGGCCTTTGATTTTGGAGCAGGAAAAGATGGTCCGGGCTGACAGCAAGCTCATAACAGCCTGGCAAAAGAGGGTTCAACCTCTGCCCGTTCCCCCCAGCCCCGGGATCAAGCCAGAGGACACATGGCGTGGTGGTGCCTCCAGCCCGGCGCCCTGGCCTTTGGAGGAGACGCCATCTCCTTGTGTCCAGGCAGCGTGGCCCCTGAGGTTCCTGGGAAGGTGGCAGACTTGCGTCTGGTTGGTCTGAAATACATACCTCTGAGCTGGCCAGGTCCCGTTCCCTAATCTGCTGTCGGCACGCATTTCAGAGTTAGCTCACTCTGAAATAGATTAAAAAGAGAAGGAAGAAATGATTTGGGCACTGTCTCCTTTCAACCCCAAGAGTCTGCTTCGTGACCTTGGTGACTTTTGCTCAATTTAGAAGCAGCAGAGAAGGGAATTGCAAGGAGACGGTGGCGAGAAATCACCATTCTTACTGAATCCGATTAAAAGTGTTCTATAAAACTATACCAACAAATCAGGACAAACCTCACACCCAGATCTTGAATCACAAGATGTTTACGTAATATAATGCCCATGGCAGACGAATATCAAATACCACAAAGTACCTGAGACAAGAAAAGAAAGGAAGGAAGGAAGGAGAGAAGGAGGGAGAAGGATAGAAAGGAGCCTGGAGTCCTGGCCTTCTGAGATCCAAGGGCCCAGGCAGAGTTCCTCGGGGAAGGGGGGGCGCTGCACGTGACCGTCCGGGGCCTCTGCTTCACATCTCAGCTTCCGAGGAGCAGACCTCCGTCGCCGCAGTGATGGCAATCCCGATGGCGAGGCTGCCGTTGTCGGAGAAGAGCTGGGCCAACGAGGTGTTGAGGACGAGGCAGTCCCCGTCAGTGATCACCGAGTCCACGCACTCCAGCACAGACCTGGGGGTGGCCTCCCACTTGAGACGCCGGTGGTTTCTGTTGAGCTCCAGGCGGTAGGTGAAGCAGTCGGCCTGGGTGGGGGTCCCGATGAGCATCATGGTGGCGAAGAACTGGGGGTGCCCTGCGTGCCTCTCCCGTTTCCTAAGCACCAGCAGAAAGTGGTGGCCGAGGCAGGAGTGCATGATGATCCAGTCGGCCGGTGCCGGGAGGTGCATGTCCGTGGCCAGGAAGACGATCTCGGCTCCCTGGAGGATGTCCACCCTGTGCATCTGCTGCAGGTGGGGCACCACCACCTCCAGGTGGCCTTCCCACTGGCAGGAGAACAAGGGGCAGGTGCAGGGCGTCACCTGGGCAGCGTGTAGCCCCGCCTCCTGGTGCGGGGGGTGGTGGTGAGGGCGGGCGTGGTGGCGGAGGTGGGGCTGGCGGGCGTGGTGGCGGAGGAGTGGGGGGAGGAGGTGAGGGGGGAAGCTGCCGGGCTCCGGGGCGCTCTGGGTGACGGCGCATCGGCCGGACACATACTGTAGGCGAAAGAGAAGAACGTTAGTGGCGGTGAGATCAGTCTCTCAGCCTGGCTGAGACTCCCCCGGTGTTCAGAATGTGGAAAGCAGACTCTCCCTTACCGGTAGAGAAAGCTCTATTTCTTAAAAAAATGAGACCTGCCAGACTGTTTTCCAAAATGGCAGCACCATTCTACATCCCCATCAGGCATCTAAGAGAGTTCCAATTTCTCCACGTCTTTGTCAACACTTGTTATTATCTGTTTTGACAAATATTTTAATGAGACGGAATTCATTTGTTTTGAATGTTTTGCCAGATTTAGATGCTGAAGTCTTCTCCAAGTCATTTCATTTCAGTATAGAATGTAAATTTACCCAATCGGAAATAGAAGCTTCTTCAAGAGATTCCTCCTGCAAGAAGAGATTTTCCAAATGTATTAGTATATTTAAAAAGGAAAACAGGGCTTCCCTGGTGGCGCAGTGGTTGAGAGTTTGCCTGCCGATGCAGGGGACGCGGGTTCGTGCCCCGGTCCGGGAAGATCCCACATGCCGCGGAGCGGCTGGGCCCGTGAGCCACAGCCGCTGAGCCTGCGCGTCCAGAGCCTGTGCTCCGCAATGGGAGAGGCCACAACAGTGAGAGGCCCGCGTACCGCAAAAAAAAAAAAAAAAAAAAGGAAACAAAACTTTAAAACAATGAGGGACACGGTGGATGCTTTGGGTCGTTGAGATTCTGAAAACTCATCCAAGAAAATGCAATATTTCTGCCTTTCTGATTCTTCAATTAGATACTCAGGCAATTTTCCCCTTCAAATAACTTGCATTGATGGTCATTAGTCATAAAGAACAAAGAAATCAATTTTTTTTGTGCTTTTTTGATACTGTTGATATTTTTGCGCAGGGACTGGAAGTCAATGGATTTTTTTCCCTCTATTTTATCATTACTATTATTTTTAGAACAAAATTTTGGTAAATACCTATTTGTCCTTCCAGTGCTGCCAGGGGTTGTGCTATCTGCAGTGCCCTTCTAGGTAGTAAGGCAACCATGGGACCCCGAGCTGATTGTGTGCAGCTGGACCACAGTCCCCAGGGAGGGAGCCTGAGCTATGTATGACTCCTGGGACTTTGCCCCACCAGGCACACTTCTGTCCTGCTTTAGGCTCACTGTTCCAGAGCAACTTGCCAGGGGCTCACAACTAGGCAGCTTCCCCCCTGAGACTCTCTTGACCTTTTGTTCTTCACGACAGCGTGCCCACCAGTGCCCTCAAAACGTCAGGAGCTGTTACAACACATTCTGATCAGGTATCAGTAAGCATTTACTGAGCACCTGCCATGACCAGACCCTAGAGATACAGCTGTGAGCAAAATCAACACTGCGTTTCTCGGTGTAGGTGGTACAGACATTAGTGCGTATCTAATTAATTACGGTTTTGAAAAGGCTCCTCCCTGGCACAAGGACTGTGATTCCTGTTTTTCAGTTGAAGAAACAGGCTTCAGTAGTAACATGCCCAAGGTTACAAAGCTGGGAAGTGAAAGATGGGATTCATTTTCACGCCTCATGACTCTGAGCACAGCAACTGCCCTCCCCTCAATAATCCCACCTCCAGCTCCCTCCCCCATTCTTTGAGGTTTTTTTCCTTAATTAGTCTGTGGGATCTGGGCTGTGCAGGGGAGGTGGCTGGTCTGCAGGGTGCTCCAGGCATGAGGCGTTCAAGTGGCAGCCTTCTCTGGGCTGCCCTCGGGTTCGCTCTCCAAGCCCCTCTGGACTTCGGGTGCCTTTGGGCACTTGCCTCGCTTCGGTTCCTTCCCAGCATGACCAGGGTGATGGGTGATGGTCTGTCTCTCATACTCATCACTGTTACGGCCAGTCTCTGTCTCCCCGGGCTCAGAGAGTGGCTGAGAGTGGAGGCCTGGCGAGCTTCCCTTTCTTTAGAGCACCCAGGGACACATACACACACACTGGGGGCCCAACTAGCTCTGTTCTGGAGTTGTTCGCCCCCGCTCTCTCCTCCACCGGGAGCCCAGCTGACCTGGAGGGTGAGTTACAGGGCCCTTCCAGTAGCTCCTGCGTGGCAGCTACTGGGCAGCCTGTCATCACCCATCCTGCACACCCGCCAAGCCACCTGTCCCAAGGGGGACAGTGTCTTCCCCTTGATGGAAAGGCTGTGTTCTAGAATCCTGCTAGTGATGAGCCTGACTCAGCCTTTAGAGTTAAATATGGGGAAGGGAATTAACTAGTATGTAGCATCTACTGAGTGCTAGGCGCTGTGGAAAGTAGATATTTTTTGTGTCATTATTTAATTTCTCACAGAAAAGATCAATTTTCTTTTTAAAAAAGTTAAATCTTGCTTATTTCCTACCTGCTTGCTGGTGGCTGATATCATTTAGTCAATGGGTGAAGGAGGGGGGCCAATTCCTAGGATCCCTTGGGATTGTACAAGTAGCCCAGGCTCATACACTCCACCAGCCAGATGCAAGGACCCCTCCCAGGTCCTCCCAACAGGCCCGGCAGAAGATCAGCCTCTTCTGTTTCGCTCAGGAGGACCTGGTGTTGGCTTCTCATGGAAAGCCCCAAACGCTGTCCCCTCTCCTAGCCTCTGAGAAGCCCCCCACCCTCATTTAGGTCACAGCAGTCACGAGAGAAACATGTTATGTGTGTCTTCTAGATGAAGAAACGGACACAGAGAGGTTGAGTCACTTGCCCAGGGTCACACAGCTTATAAGGGGTGCAGATGGGAATGGAGCCCAGATCAGTTAAAGGTGATATGGATCATAGCCTGGGAAGATCACCAGCTGGATGTTGGCCAACTTTGGTCTGTTCCACCGTTTACTTGTCCAGCAGCCTTGATTAAGTCAGTTGCCCCATCAGCAAAATATTTATTTCATAGGGTTGTCGGGGGATCAAATGAAACAGTGCCTGTCAAACAGCTTTAACAACCACATCAAGTATTACATCAGTAAGGCATTTCCGTTTGGACACGGTTTGGGATGAAGAGTTTCGGTGGCCTTCCCCCTCGGTCCATGGCTGCCTGCCTTGGTACTGGTCAGCTGACCCTCGCACCTGGGCAGCACTCTGGGCTGAACACAGGCCACCGGAAGGGTCTGGAGACCCCAACATAGCACTTGGCTGGGGCCTCCTGTCCTATGCCAATGCATGATGATGGAATATCCTGAAATTCCCATCTCAGAAATGGCCTCTGGGCTATTCTCTGCCCTTCTGCAGAGGCACCTTCCATCTTCTCCATCCTGTTCTGTGTAGCTAGTATCAGAGATGTGAAACCGAAGTAAGGAGGGCATGAGGAAGAAACCCCTCGACCTCCCTTTCTTCCCCGACTCCAGTCTCCTGCCATACCTCCCATTGGCTAAACGCAGTCAGAGACATAGCAGAAGGAAGCCCAGGCGGTGCACTCAGTGAGGGTCAGCCGCCGTTGGAAACGGCGCTTCACCAGTGAGGAGCACATGTGAAGAGGGAATGCCCACCTGTATGCAGATGGCTCAGTTCCCTCCTTTGTGATGTTAGCTGATCCGACCAGTCTGGGCCTCCTAGGCTGAGCTTCGATGAGGCTGACAGTGGGGGAGGCAGGGAGGGCTAATATATGCCCACGATCGTTAAGCCGTTCGACAAGAATGGATACACCAGCTGACACGTGCACCGCCTCAGTACAGGCTGAGAATACTGAGCAGAGTACGATCCCAGTTCCTGTCTCAGTAGCTCACTGTGATTAGTATAATATAACACAATGCAAAAATGCAGGACCGGAGGGACCCTGAGTGTGCAAAGTGGGGGCCGTAGTTATTCTAGTCAGTGCCCAGTGCCATTTACCCTGGGCGAAGCAGGAAGGGTGATGCTCTAACAAAGTAGGCAAAAGGTTTGCTGTTGGGGTGAATAACAGGTTCCAAGGAGCTTGATCTGAAAGACCATGGGATTTTTTTTTTTTGTGGTACGCGGGCCTCTCACTGCCGCGGCCTCTCCCGTTGCAGAGCACAGGCTCCGGACGCGCAGGCTCAGCGGCCATGGCTCACGGGCCCAGCTGCTCCGCGGCATGTGGGATCTTCCTGGACCAGGGCACGAACCCGTGTCCCCTGCATCGGCAGGTGGACTCTCAACCACTGCACTACCAGGGAAGCCCCAACTATGGGATTTTTAAGAAATGAAAAGTTCCAAGTGGCTGTCACTAGAGGATCTGCCAGAGATGGTGAGGAGGGGGGCTGGAGAGCCGTCGGACCATATTGCCAAAGTCTTGGCACGGAGATGACACCCAACACTCAGGGGCCATCCGTAGGAGGGCTCAAGGGACACAGCTTCACACTTTAGGGAGCCCCTGCGGGCAGCATGATGGCCCAAGCCCACCAGCAGAGCCGGTTCCAGCTGTCACTCAGGATGGGGCAACAGTGAGTCCTGGCACTTGTCCAACCCCTGGACCCTAGGCTTGGCCATTCCACCCAGACTCTCCCCTTGCTTCCTTTTGGCCGCGTCTTCCACTGGCCTTTCCGTTGTTTAATTGCTGCAGGGTAACAGAGCAGCCAGTGGTATAATCCAAAGTGACTGAAGTGAATGACTATGCAAATAAAGCGAGGCATTATCAACTCACGGAGACCCCTGCGCTTGCTGTGCCCTGAGAAGGCGCTAAGAATAAACACAGCCTTAATTCTCCATTTCTTCCTGCTCTATCTTCTGACGCAAAATATGTTTCATTTAAATGATCTTCGGCTGAGCGAGGTCACAGGGCTGCTGGCAGGGAGAAGGGATTCTTTTAATTGGCAAAATGCTAATCGTTTTGGAAAATGAATTCTAATCTTACCATCTGATACAGCGGATGTGTGAGTAATTACTTTCCTTCACTAAGCTGTTAATGCAACATTAGTGATTACATTAATTAAAACTCTTACAGGCTGATAAACCCCTCAGTCAGTCTGAGGATGTCTTCCTTCCATTGGCCATATTTAACTTCCCATTTGGAAGAGAGATCTTGAATCAACCTTTAGAATAATTCGCAAAATTGGGTTTAGAAATGTTAGGCTTT